CCCCCCCAAAAAAAAAATAAATAAATAAATTAAGGGCTATTTTTATTACATTTTAAAGCTGATAGTGGATGTAATCAAAGCTAGAAATGGTAATATTAGAAAACTAAACCAGCAGCAAAAGATCATCATCACCAGTTTCAATAATATTGTCTCAGAAAGTATGAACTGGAATTGAAATAGGTTTTAAAAATATTCTTAAGTCACAAAAGACATAGTTTTTTTGTTTATTTGTTTATGGAAAGCATTCATCAATGCTCTTTTTGCAATTCATTCTGTACCAATCCGATGGTCCTGGTTCTGATAGATACATTTTTTAAATGATCGATAAAAGATTTCCTGGTTATACTTTGAAATAAAATAATCTACTGTCTAATCTTTGAAAACTTTATTTACTAAATGAAACAAATCTGCATTTTAAGCATTTTTTCATACCTTTGCAATCACATTACAGTGAAACTGAATGTTTCCTCCTGTCTGCACCATGTGAGCAGAGATATCAAAGAGTTATATCAGAGCATTAATCTGGGACATCATCGCTAGGCTAATCTTAGCTTGTTTTATGCTGTGCACATCAACAGTACAGTGTAAAATCATTACTTGGAATAGAAGACCGTAGCTGTGATTGGAGTAGGATATCTTCAGAAAACACTGATCAAGCTTTGGCTGCTTTGTATCCTCAGAACATTATTATAGCTTTCTTAACTGAGTTGTTGGAGCTTTTTAAAGCTGTCTGGAAAAAGAACTGGAATCAAAGTAGATAGAAATAAAACTGAATAGCAGAAATATTAGAATCCCTTTTTTTTTTACAAAAAAAAAAACAAGAAACAAAAAAACCAGCAATTGTTGAACATCTTGTTTTAGAAATAAAAATACATAGAGGAAGATAATACAAATATAGCCAAACACTAACCTAAAGCCCCACTACATGTTATTATCATTCTTTAATGTTATTACGTGAAATATCAGTTTGTTTGGCACTGAGCAAAGAAACCTGGCAATGATATTATAATGTTGTGGACTAAAATAGATATAGTGCCAGGAATCCTAACGTAAACAAACAGGATGGAATATCCTGGATGAGGATTTACTGTTTGCTCCTAAACTCTATCCTATATGGGAACAAATCCCACATGAACATCAGGAGACGAGTTAATGCCCAAACACTGAATTTAGAGACAATAACAATACAACAATAACAAAGCACATAATGATTTTCTAGAAAACATAACAAGACTGCAAACATTGTAATCTAAATAAGTGATTTTTTTCTTAAAATAACTGCATTTCCCCCTTGAATTGAGGAGGTAAGTAAGTGACTTTGCCAATGGAACAAGACAATTTACATTTAAAATAAGAAAAAAAAAATTTGCATTCTTATTTCAAGTGAATATTTATCTAATTATCTTATCTTAAGAGTAAATATACTCATTCCAATGGAAGATCATCTTATTTACCCACTTAAATTAAGAGTAAATGCACCTAATTAAGGAAATGTTGACAGATTTTTTCTAGATTGTTTTTGCAGTGCATTAGCCAAGTGCAGCTACTAGCATAGAACATCAAAAGGCTTTAACCTAATATTTCTTCACAGATGACAGGATGGATTATTTACACCTCCAAGTATGTTTCTCTCTGTATAAAATTGGTTTATGTCAAATCTGAGCAAAAACACGGTCTGCACTGATATGATGTAGCCTATTGGATGGCTTGTTTATATTCCCCCAAATACTCTGGTATTTACTCAAACCTCTGCAGCACAATGCTGAGGCATATTAAAAAACACATCCAGGAAGCAAAGAAAAAAAATCCTGCTTCTGATGCTGTTAATGAAAAAAGTCAGAATCTCTTCATGCAACTAAGGTATTTTGTCCTCTCACATTGTCGTTTTTAAAATTGGTATAAATGCCATCT